TGTTTTGTCTTACAATCTAAGTGATGTGGACTTTGCTTCCTAATTTTCCTTGATTTCATAGAGCACCAGCTGTGTAAAACTATAGCTAAGAGCTTCACTGTCCTTTGCGAAAGTCTCCCTCTCTGTAGCCGCACACTTGTCTCTCTTTTCACTTGTCAGGAAATGGTTTAGCTGCGATTTTCCCCCCATAAGTGCCCACAAACCTCCAGGAAGAGCAGAGAAGGACAGAGTGGGAGCTGGGGGATTTCTTCGCGTAGACCTTCCAGGCAAGGACAATGGCCCAATACATTGCCTGGAGCTGATTAATAACAACAATAAAACACAAAACATAGTGAAAGAAAAATATAATATGGCTAATGTAATACATGTGCAATATAATTTCAAAAAAGTGACACTTCTGACAAGTCTTTTTGTCATCATTATAAAATTGGGTCACATATTTAGGACCATTTAATTAGAAAGCACCACATTTTGTTTCCGACTGATCACAGTTGAAGGAGGGGCTTATGCTGACCATGGACTACAGACTCTTTTCAAGTAAGGGCAGAACATAATGCTGATGGATGTATAGGAGAGTGCTAAGCATCAGGGTTCAGTGGAAAGACCCCACAGCCCTAGCTACTTGGGAGGCTGTGGCAGGAGGATTTCAAGTTCAAGGCCCTCCTAGGCAACCTAGTAAGACACGTCTTAAAACTTTAAAAATAAACAAATAAAAAGGACTAGGGATGTGGCACAGTGGTAGAGTGTTCCTGCATTTGAACTCCAGTATGGTCAACAACAAAACAGGTTTCTGGAAATATCCTTTGAAATATATTATTATGTAGACTTAAAAGTGGTATGTACACACACACATACACATGCTCCCCCACCAACATCTCGCCAGATAAACAACAAACTGTTATCTATGATCCATTTGAGAGAAAAGAAATGGGAACTAGATTAATAGAAGAGGGTGTGGGGCTGGAGAGATGGCTCAGTGGTCTAAAGCAGCTACTTGGAACAAGCTTGGCAAAGCACAAGGACCGCAGTTCGATCCTTCAGCACCACATG